AATCTTAATGCAAACTATATACAATAAGAATGATTATCAAGTATTGTCCAGGAAAAACAAAGGGTGTAACATAAACAAAAAGGAAACTACAACCAACAAGAATAACATCAAACAAGAAAGACATGCTAAATGTCCAGAAATGACCAGAACATGGGTAAATGGCAAATTACTGACATTACTCCAATAGCTGTCTTATCTTCAAGATTCTAACTCTAACTAATATGTTCTAGCTAAGATACAAGAAGATTATAACTGTAATTATCTAGTCTTCAACTCCATCAAAATTCTGAGCAGGAACATAACAATACCTGAGAAAATGGAAAATGCAAGTAAATTATTTCCAAAATTCTTGCAAGAATATACAGAGACAGCTGGCAGCCTGGACAGTCACCTAAAGTTTCTCAGCATTGTTGGGACATCCAATTTGGTTACAGGTCTAGAATATCTAATAGACCTGTAGTGAGTAGCCATTCTAGCTTTGACCTGAAAGTTTTAACCTCCATTGAGGCTTCGGTAATGATCATGCCTACAAGGCAGGGCTGAGAGAGGACACTGAAGACCCGAGATCCGGATGTGTGGGCTCTCTTGGTTCCTGGACCCTGGATGCTGGAACTAGACCGAGCAGAGTTCTCCAGAGAACACTGCTGGACTGCACCACACCTTTCCCAGACCCTGTAGCCTATCCCTTCACTTGTAAGTTACCCCACAAAATAAACCTCCCTTTTAACTATGTGGAGTGGCCTTAATAGTTTCACCAATACAGACCATTTTCAGAAGCAGGAATTTTGAAAGACCATCTTACTCTGTCTTGGTAAGGTTCAGTAGTCAATTTTCCTTGTGTCCTGCTCATCCTGAAAGGACAGCATTCATACTGTCAGCAGTTGAGGCAAGGGCAGTTCTTTGCCCAGCAGACTAATTTGTGCCAAGAAGAATACAAACTTCCAAATGGAAATGTCTTAGAAACCCAACATTCTCTCGGGATCAGATTGGTGCTGCCAGGAGCATTCATGTCTCACATCAACAGAATTATAAGTTATCAAAACATTTAAATGCCATATTCTCTAGGTCTATGCAATGTTTGAAGATTACCTATCCATTTGATATATGTTTCCGTAAATTTGGACAACCTAACATAGCTATAGAAATGGCAAGCATGTGTGACTATAGTTCTATAAGTCTTATCTACCTAAACAACGTAAGGACTAAGGCTTCACATTAAGAAGGTAAACAGTCTATAAGCAGATGTACCATATAAGGACAATAACCTCAAAATTGTGACAATACACAAAATATCTTAAACAGAGGAAGAAATGTATAGTGCAATACACAATGTGACAATAATATCCTTAATTTGTATCAATATACAAAACATCCTAAACAGAGGTAGAACATACAGTATGATAAATATAATATTACACTTGTATCAATATACAAAATATTTCAAACAGGAGTAGGAACATGTGTACAATACAACAAATACAGTTTTGTATTTGTATCAATATACAAATTATCCTTAATAGCAATATAAGAATAGTTTACATTTGGATCAATATATAAGAATCCATATCAGTGCAAATTATCTAAGGCTGATATTTTACTGAATTAGTTTACTAGTAAATACAATAATCTACCTTAATATCCTATACCTATCCATTTCCCTTTTACTTTTCTAAAAGAGAATACTGAGTCCAGATTTTATTGCTCCACCTCAAACCCTATAACCATCCATCCATAACCCTGAGAAAAATGAAACCTTTGGGAGAGGGGTGTTGTTTTCTTAGAATTACTTCCTGCTGTTTAGGGGGCGGTGGTATCTCTGTAGGCCCTGCAAGATATCTTAGATAGTTAGGTCTCAATAGGGCTAGCCATAGAGTCTGCAGCCAGCCTCAGTAATGTGTAAGGTTGTTGGAGATTCTGGCTAGAAGTGTAGTATGATGGACCATCTCATCTTAGAACTGTCCTGAACGGTTTTCAGTCCAAAGCTGATCATTGAGTAATGTTCTTAGGTACTATGGCATCTTTCTGAACCGAGTAGAGTTGTTGTTGTGGGGCCCCATCTTCCTTCCTTCTGGAGACTTCAGAGATTGCTATTGGGAAGACTTATTTTCACTGTGGAAAACTGCCTGGCTAGCTCAGTCAGTAGAGCATGGGACTCTTAATCTCAGGATCATGGGTTTGGGCTCCACGTTGGGTGCCACTTATTATGATGAGTCCATGTGAGTCTATTGAATGGGTAACAGAATTTATCAAGATATAAATTAAGAAAATACACTTACGAATACAGAATGGAGTAGACAGCTGAAATTGTCCTCTGATTTGACCAGGAATGAATCTACCTCACAGGCAGGAGCAGGGAGAAGGGGCATATGACCCTTTCTAGCTCCTTATAAGAGGTCATGTACAACAGCAGGAAGTACCTCCTCCTTTGGGCCATATAGCCCAAGGTCATGGGTGGAGCAAATACCATTACACTTGTTCTTTAAAGCACTTCTCTATGGCCTCTCATAATCACTAGCACAGAGAGCAATTCTAAATATGACCTAAACGGCCTTGCACCTCATCTTGCATAACACTTCCCTCATGTTACCCTGGCTTCTTATTGCCTTAACAACAGGAAGGGATTGCTAGACTCTGAGACTTTTCATATATTATCCTTCTGCCTGATTTCATTGACTTGACTCCCATGTTCACTGTCTAATAATTATTTGAGCTAGTCATGGTGTCCTTAAAGAATGCTGTCTCATAGAGCCTCCATATCAAGCCCTGCTGGTCTTCTCTAAATTCTAAATTCAACCTGTACCTTAATTATGGATTTCTATGTACCACCCCCCCAAATGTGCTCAGTGCTACTGGTGGCTGGGCCCTGGCATGCTGTACTGTACACCTTCTGGAACCCTGTAGACTGGCTTGAGGCAAGGATATCCTAGCTTATTGATGCTCTACCAGCACCTAACCTTGTATATACTCTCAGCTTTTAAAGTATCATCACTGACTGCCCTACCTATTGGTTTTCTGGGATCCAGTACCATACCACCAGCCTAATAGAAAACAATCTCCTTTTTCTTATTTATTTTATTTATATGGATGTTTTACCTGAATGCATGTATATGTACCACATGTGCGCAGTGCCAGCAGAGGCCAGAAAAGGGTGAGAGTCCTCTGAAACTGGAGTTACATATGGTTGTGAGCCACCATGTGGGTCTGTGAGCTGGATCTGGATCCCCTGGAAGAGCAGTTAGTGCTCTTAACTGCTGAGCCATTTCTCAAGCCCGACAGTGTCTTGTTTTAATGACATACACATAATTAACCCCACAGTTTGAATTCTTTGGCAAGACTGTAGTAAATCACTGTTATTATTGGAGTTACTGCTCTTGTGATTCTTGAAAACAATATTTTTCATCTAGAAAAATCATAGGAGGGGTTCCAAACATTTTTTCTTTTTGGGGGGTGATAGGCTTTCATATTATGTCCCACAAAGAGGCTATACTTCTCCTCCCCCAGCCTTACCAGCCCATAGGGACCTTGGTAGTTGTCCTGAGTCCTTTCACAAGTATCAGGGAAGGAACAGGTTCAGAGTCTGGTTTGAAACTAGAAAGGTAGACTCATCTTTGACAACATTGAAGAGAAGTTATGCTATTTACCTTACTGCTTTTTTTGGTTTGTGTATGGTGTTTTCAAGTTTGGGGAAAAGCACAAAGACTCACCTTGTCATGAGCAGGGGTGTTCTTGGATGAATGGTACCTTCAATTCATATGTTGACTTACAAATTAGAAGTTAAGATCTTGCAAGTGATAAATTGAATAAAGTGAACTCTTTAAGGTGCTCCTGAGCCAGTGTGACTGCTCTTTCTTAAGAGATTAAAATACAGATAAGTACTGAAAGAAGCCAATATGGAGATACAAAGAGAAGAGGACTATCTATAACCCAAGGAGACAGGCCTTAGGAGTTAACTCTGCAGAGATGTTGATCTTGACTTCCCCAGTCTTTGGAACTGTGATGAAACAAGTTCTTGTATAAATCACCCGATTCTGGTCATTTGTGATAGCGCCCTAGAAAGCTAAGTCTCAGCACTGAGACTTTGATTAGAGAATATAACCAGTCAACACATTTGCTTTTAATTGAACACTTACTGTAAGCCAGATACCATGCTATGCTCTATGGAAGAGGTAAGATGTTATATATGATCACTGCACTTCTGAGGATAACAGAAGAATAGGAAAGGCAGGGGCATGTTGAAGGAATTGACAGTTAACAGCAAAGCCAAACTCAGACCTTTCTCTGAGGGAGGCCCCATAGTGTCACTGGAATAGCATGAGGTGAGATAATTGAGGAAAGATCTGCAATCATGAGATGAGCATAACACCTCTTCCTCATAAGCCCTTAGTCAAATTGCATTCCCAATCAGGCTGTGCTTCCCCCAGTTGTGAAGTAAGAGTTGATTAGAAACCCCATATGTTGGGAGGACTGTTTCAGTTCACACAGGTACAGGACCTGACACAAACTAACTATTCAATAAATTCTGCCTGTGATCATTTAGAAACAGCCCATGTATCCTCCTCACCATGGACACTTCAGAAGTCTGGGTCCTCTTCGTGTATTAGTTTTCTTGCAGGTGCTAGCCTGTGGCCCAAAAGTACTTATCTCTGGGGAAAGCTCCTAGAGATTTTAAAACCTGAGCCCAGCTTGTGCTGAGATCTGTTCAAAGAGCCTTCACTTAACCAGGGATCAGGTGACTAGGAAGTTGCTAAACAAGATCTATGTCAGATTTTACTAGCCTCATCCCACAGGGGGATGGGACAGAGGATCATATTACACACTGTGGGCACAAACTTTAGGATCCAGACTATCTCTGCTTCCAACTGGCTCCTAAACTGGTTTGGGTTGTTTCCTTATCTATGCAATCTGACTTCTGGTTCCACAAATTTGACCTCCAGCCTTCCACATTCTGGGAAACTCAGGGAGTCATCTAGGATCTATGATGGACCAGAACACGGTACAAGTGGATGCCATTTGTTCTTTATTTTTACTCACTGTTTTCTTATACAGAAAGACACAAAAGTTAACAGCTAAATTTAACAATTGTAAAAAGGGAGCCAGAGAGCGTGCATGAGAAAGGTCAGAGCAAGTTGGTTTGTTGCCCCCAGGCTCCATTTGAAATCCCAACGTATGACTGAATATACAGATGTCCCAGCTGACACTGGTCAACACATGAATACAAGCACAGTTTCAAATGGTACCAAAATTAATCCATTTCACAGCAATCATTTCTATAAGCTCAGTTGCACATATCAGGGTTGCCACTGTCACAAATTCACAATGACAGAGTGAAATAGCAGGTGGATTCAGGCCTGGGAAAGTGGTATCAGTGAGGCAAGACAGGTTGGGAGGCAAAAAGCAGCTGGAGGGTTGGTCCCAATCCTAGATATCAGTCTTAACGCTCACTGGGAGCTGGAGAAGGGCAGGCACGTTCAGAGGTCAGATAGCAGTACAATAAAACAACTGTTGAGACATTAAGCTGAGGGGGGGTGCTGTTTGGAGATTTTTGTCAGAGAAATTCTTGTTGAGAGAGAGAGAGAAATTTGCCTTCCACGGCCTGGGAAAGGAGAAGCTCCAAAGTTTGAAGACTTAGGGGTGAATGAGAGCAGGCAGTCTGCTAGTGCAACATCTGCTTTAAAGAACACTTAGAAAAACATGAACTGGTGTTGAAATTGCAGTCAAGATCACAAACTATGTTATTCACAGGGTAAATACAGACACAGAGTGAAAGGCTGCAATATCTAGCATCCCCACAATGAAGAGAGAACAAGAGATCACCCTGCACAGAAACAGCCTTACACACAAGAAGTGCTAAACTCCAAGCTGAAGGCACAATGAAGGGATCCTTGGCACCTCAAGCTTTTCCTTTGAAAAAGGTACCCATTTTAAACCAAATTCCTTTCACAAAGAAGCCCCAGAAGACTGACTGAAGGGAAGATGCTTTCAAATATTTTTATGTAACAAGAATAGTGGTTTCTGTGAATTATCTTCAATTTGGATTTCCTCTAAGTTCTGAATTAGTGGGCTCAAATTAATGGGCTTTTACTGTAGTTGGAAGCAGTGTGATTACAGCAGTCTAAAATTAGCTAATTATACTGATTAGTATTAGGAGACTTTAGTGGGGGAGATGTGATTGTTCCAGAATGAGCGACGCCTGGAAATGGAGCTTCAGCACTTGAAAAGCTGAAAAGCAGTCCAGCCCAGCAGCTCAGGCTTGACTGTGAGCAAACACACAGTCAGAGCACACACACTGTTCTAAAAAGACACATTCCTGGGAACTCCCAGCCTGTCTCTGCCATTTTTCTCTCACTTGAATTAAAAGACAATCTAGTGGAAATGTTGGGGTTTTTTTTTTCTTAGTTTTCTTATGGGGTACCATTTGGTTGTCAAAATATCCATCAACTCTGACTGGGATCTGGGGAGTTGCCATCCACTGGGAGAGGGGAAGCATCTGTCTGGAACTGCTTAAACAGAAAACACTGCTGTCTCTAATCCCTAATGTTTGGACTACCAACAAGACAATGTCCAAACAATTGGGAGATGCTTGTTTGCTGGAGCACCCTAAGGAATTCACACTAATGGCAGTGGGATTGGCAACTAGCAGAGGAGGCCTCAGTTTCCCAGGTCCAACTGCTTGGGATCACGCCTCTGTAATCAGCCAAGGCACAACACAGCTGTACACGGGTATGCCAGGCAACTGTGCGCCCCACTCTTTCTTTTGTGCTTTCATTTTGAAAACCCAAAGTGATGGGCAGTCTGGGAGGGGACTAACAGGGCTGCCGTTATTGTTGAAAACGTCTTAAAAAGGTTTTGGTTGAAAACAAGTGACAGCCATATTTTAAGGAAATTTTTAAAGCCTTTTCATTTTTAGAGAAAAATATCTAAGTAACTAACTCCACCATTCTGAAAGTCAATAGTCACACACACACACACACACACACACACACACACACACACACACACACACACTCATTTATTCTTTCTCCTTCCCCCTACACACACACATTCATTCTCTCTCCTTCCCACCCCCACCTCTCTCACACACACACTCATTCATTCTCTCCTTCCCCCTTCTCTCTCTCTCTCTCTCTCTCTCTCTCTCTCTCTCTCTCTCTCTCTCTCTCTCTCACACACACACACACATACACACACACACACACACACACACACACACACACACACACACACACTCAGGAGTTCTCAGATTTCCTTCAGCTGCTGACACCTACAGAATAGGCATGTGAGTGGGAGGGGGTCCCATAGAGTGCGGGCCCCACAAGATGATGACAGTTTTCCCTTCAGAGCAGATCCCTCTTGGGAAAATAAAACTACACACCAGCTAACATTTCACAGAAGCAATGAGAAAAGACAACATGCCTACATGTATACACACGCACACACACACAAGTCTCAAACAAATACAGATGTGACTACTGAATTGTTAGCATTGTATCAAATCAATGTCTATAGAAAGACAGTTTGAAAAGATATGTACAGGGCATTCATAAAGCCAAATGTGCACCTTGAGGAATTATGCCCATTATATATACTAAACACTATGCTGTGAAAAACCATTGCAGAGGCCTTGGCACAAGTCACCTGGAGAGCTCTGTGAAGCACCTGACCCAGAGTCCACAGGCCACATGCAAGGAGCTGCTTCTCATTCACCCTACATCTGGTCCTCAGCTCCTGGGGCTATATATCACCCTCAACAGGCCTTGGGAGTAGGTTTTCTGCTCTTACCCATGTATCCCTAGCCTCTAGCTGCCAGGCAGCTCAACAGAAAAATCTCAACACATGCCAAAGGCAGTGGGCATCCCTTGGCATACTCTCTGTGGCTCTGGTCAGTGGAGCCTATGCCTGACTCTCTGCTAGCTGGGGGAGGAGTCACATTGGGGTAAGTCTTTTTTCATATATCCCAGGCCACAATCAGGCACCAGCTTAATAAAATGCTTGGAGAGGCTGGGCTGACCCAGAGCTTCCAGCTTCCCCAGGATCTCTGTCATGTCTAAATGAGGTTGATCCCAATCTCCATCATGGAAAAAGCAGGAGGCTTCGGAGCCCCAAATCCCTTCATTAGGAAGGGCCAGAGCGCAATACTAGAAGACCAATGGAGAGAAAGAATAAAAAGAAAAATGGAAGGAAAGAAAAGGGAAGAGGGAAGGCATGAAGGAAAGAAATCAGGGAGGGAGGGAGGGAGGGAGGGAAGAAGTTCAAAATGGAGGGACAGAGGGAGGAATGCCATCTAGGCAGCATTTCTGGTGTCAGGAAACTGGGGAGAGAGGAAGTCCCATAAAGGATCAAATGGAACGAGACTGACTCCTCAGATTGACACTCAACATCAGAGGCATTTGAAGCCCTCAACTAAAACCAGTCCCTTACAGCTAATACCTATTTCTAAAAGAATCCTGATCCTGCTAAGGGCAAACTTCACTGGTTCCAAGGTGCTTCAAGCACTTCACCAGCATTAGCTCCATCAGCCTCCAATGGGCCTACGAGGTAGGGGAACCACAGGGTGGAGTTATTACAAGCTGGCAGCCTCACTGGGGTAAGAGCATAACCGTGACTAGAAACACACCCCCAGGAAAGTCCCCTTCACTGGAACAGCCTCTAGAAGTTATCTGGGGCCTCAAGGTAGGGCTGCATTCAAGGAACGTGTTTCAGTGTCTGCCTTGGAGAGCTGCTTAGACAGAAGGAACCTTGTCAACACTGTGGGTTGGAAACCATTGCAGTTGCCAACAGACCCACGCTACGCACTCTTTTTGGGTCCCACAAAAATGTGCTACATTTTTTAAAGCACCACAGAGGAAAAAATGATTTGGCACAGAGACCAGGAGAATAGACTGGAGCGGGTAGAGATGGTATCAACAGTGTCTTTTACTTCATCATTGACAGTTAAAGAGCAAGTCACCTCTGCCCAACATCTTCCAAAGCCTCACTGAAAACAGATCAGCACCTGGCTGTGGCAGAGCAAACCCCAGGTGGGCTTTAGACCCCAGGTCACGGGCTTTCCTACTAAGAAAATTTTTAAGAGACACTTCAGGAACTTCTCCCTGTATGGGCACCATCATTAGGAGAAATCACAATCTAAAGTTCAAGTTCAATGCACCTATTTACAAAAAAAAAAGGAAGTATCCTAAAACTTCAAAGCCAGACAGCACAGTGCCAAGGAGGTGGAGCTCATGGTTTTAACTATTCTATGGATTTATCAACCCCACAAAAGTGGAATCTTGAGCTTTCTGTGCCAGTCTGTAACAACCAGGGAGAGGGCCTGGGCTCCATGGGGGAAGGGGACATCAGTTTCCCACGTACAGAGTACTCTAAGGTTACATATGGGTTATGCCAGTGTGGACTGGTTTTTAGCACAGCTGGTACACATCAGAAACAAGATGGCAGAGTTCAAGTGGGCCCCTTGATTGGTCTGGAAGAAGGAGCTCTGCCACCCAGCCCCCTTTCCTCATCCTTCTCATGCCCTGTCCTCCTACCAGGCTGATCTACACATAGATTTCTTCCTTGTCAGGAGCATAGGGATGAGTGTTGGATGAAGGCTGTGCCAAAGTCTGTTTAATTGATTTCTTCTGGAGGGCTTCAAAGGGCTATTGTTTTCATCTATGGTTCATTATTTATTACTTGTGTTTTGTTCCTAGTTCAACCCTTATTTCTGTCCTCATAATATGTGTTGAGAACAGTAAGCATGGAACTGTTGAGAAAGGGGAAACTGCAGGGCCAGCTTGACCACCTCATGTCTGTGGCCCAGGTCTCCAGAAACACAGGGGTCCCCACACATACCCATAGCCTCAGGGATGAGCCTGTGGACATTCTGGCCACAATTAACACCATGAGATGGTTCCTTTGGCATAAGAGAAGCCAGTCCCTAAAGAGAGGGCAGGATGGTGGGGACTTGGCATAGTTGGGGGTGGGGTAGGAGTCTGGAAGACCCAGGCTTTCAGGTCTGTAGCTTTTTCCCTGGGGTATCATGTACTTGTCCTATGCCCCCCACCCCCACCCCTACCCCCGACACACACAGACACACCAACTGTCTCTACCAACTGACTTCCTACAAATCCACTGTTGGGGAATTATTTGGCAACAAGGAGGCTAAGGCTGTTCTGTGGTGGCACAGTCTTTCAGAAGTCCAAAAGGAAGCAGGCTACCTCTGGAAGAGGCTTTTATACAGGCCAGGGCCTGTGCTCAGCTACTTGTCTGCACTGGGGCTGGCTGCCACAATTTCTTCATACTTTGGGGGAGGGTCACTGTAAGAGACACTGGCCTCCTCACTGCTGCCCTCCTGGGGTGCAGTCACCTCCTCATAGGAGGGAGGAGGGGTAGCGCTGGACAGTCTGGAGAGAGAGAGCTCTGGGAGGTAGAGGGTGCTCTCCAGTCGGACAGTGGTTCTGCCTCCCCGGCTGGGCCCCAGGACTATCTGTGGGTTATTCCCTGCCTCTCGGTGCACAGAGGACTCTCCCTGACTATGCACAGTGCCCCTGTATACCATGACTCGGGGGAGGTTGTGCCCGGTGCGACTGGCTAGGTACCGGTTCTGAGCATAGGAGGGGTGGTGACGAGTTGCTTTCTGCAGCTGGCACCTCCAGATGATGAACAAGGCAATGACAATCAGCAAGACTACCCCCAGAAGGGGCACCACCACATACATGGCATCTGAGCTCTGTGAGGGATCTCGGACTGAGTAGACTGCATTTGGGTATCCCTTCCAAAACTCCATCTGCAAAAGAAGAAAGGTCACTCACTCCTGAGGAAGACAGACACAACAAGGCAATTCTCACGTAACATCCATGCTCTGGACATCTGAGATTTCCAGCAAGTCATGTACCAAGGACAGGTTTGTGATTCCTTCTCTACCCTGAGTCATCTTACTGGCCTGAGAGTGCTCTCAGAGAGCCTGGGGAATCCACCCAGGATAAAAGCCAAAGCTCCCCAATGAGGAAGTTCACACAAATCATGCAACAGACCTAGGGGACACCCCAATGTTCCTTTAGGGCTCCAACAGGCAGGATGTAGGCTGGGGTGGTGTTCTTCCCTTGTTTCAAACCTGTTCTTATTATTCCCAAGATTGCACCTCCTCCCAGAACCCAGCCCCAGGGCAGTACGTGCCGTTTTTTCTTTGTTCTCAAATACTTCCTTGACCTCTTCATAGCTGCAGATCTCTTCCATGCACTCCCGCTCGATGGTGCCCTGACGAAGCTCCTCCAGGAACTCATTGGCACGAGGGAACCGTTTCAGGACTGCATGGGCATTCTTGGCTTCCAGAAATACTGAAGAGAGAACCACAGTGACACAATTCAGTACCTACAAACCAGACTGGCCCAGTTATGAAGGAAAATAGGGCAAATCCAGAAGACCTAAAGCCAGGCCTCCAACCAAAGGCCAGGCCTAGCCTATTGCAATGAGGATAGGAGGGCTGACTTTCTACAAGGTTGTACTCTCCAGGAGGATCTCAGGGTCCCAACAGGGCCCAGATCCTTTGCCATACCAAGGAAAATGAGACCAACTGAGAAGGAACTTCAGGTGGCACAGGAAAAAGGACCAGTCTCTATGTATTGTAGTCTTGGGTGAGAAAACATCCAGTTGCTTCTGCATCTGTCTTGAAAAAGGAAAGCCAGAGCCCTTATCATGAGAACTGGTCCCTCTTCCAGGCTGCCATTGGTGGGAGTAAAGTCAGGCATGAGCTGTGGCTTTGAGGACGAAAGCAACCACTAATGGTGAGATTGCTTACTCTTCACAGCAGGTGATTCCCCTCTATGCCCAAGTTGATAGGTCTGACCTGTAGGTCCTCTTCCCCAAGATCTACGAGGTGCTACATTAGTAAACCTCAGAGCCACCCAAGGAGAGAAAAGCTGAAAAGATGGATGCGTTGCTTTGGCATGAGCCTGTCTGACTCAGATGGTTCTACAAACACTCACCAGCCATGATGCTCCCTCAGCTCCAGTGTCTCACTTGCCTGGCAAGGAAGAAAAGAAAGTTGTGGTGAAATCCTCTGGGGTCTAGAATGTGACCTCCCACCAACCTGGCTAAAAGGTCAAAGCAGCATCCTATGAGGCACAGCACCCTCATGCAGCCACTCACCTCCTGCTGCTTCTCTTTTTTCCTCAAAGACCTTCTCCAGAGCTCCCCAAAACCCAGCAGAGCCTTGTTCTCCCTCCCTCTCTCTCTCTCTCTCTCTCTCTCTCTCTCTCTCTCTCTCTCTCACACACACACACACACACACACACACACACAGAGAGAGAGAGAGAGAGAGAGAGAGAGAGAGAGAGAGAGAGAGAGAGAGAGAGAGAGAGAGAGAGAGAGAGAGCCTCCTGTGAATCTCAAAGTCCTAAGGGTTCATCTTTTTTCAAACGGAAAGCATCTCTGGGCTAACATTCCCTATTCCTCAATCCCTTCAAAGAATCTTTGTCCCTTCAGAACAGAAAGGACCCCAGAGACAGATGAGAAACCAAGGCCAGAGATGGGGTTGGGTAGAAGCAAGGTTAAGCAAATTGATAGAGACAAGACCTGGCATTGAATTTGATGGTGAAGATGAGTCCCAAATACCTCTAAAGATGAACATGTTTATTAAATACCAAACTTAATGCAGCAACAGTCATCACAGGCTAAGGCTGGCCTATAGTAATCTGTAGATATCTGTTGTTCAGGGTCAGACCTACCATGTACAAAACAGATATATTCTTACCATCCCTGTCCCAACACAGACAATCTGCTCAGTGCATCTTCCCCAGAAAGAGAGACAAGATGTTTGGATCTTTTCTGGAGGCAGGCACATCTTTTCTCTTTGCAGTAAAGACTACTGCAACAGAGAACCTTAGTAAACACATATTTAAAAGATCATCATGAAGACACAGTTCTGGAGGTATAGCTTATTAATATACCACATGCCAGGAATGTCTAACATTCTGGGTTTCATCTTCAGAACCACAACAAACAAATAAATACAATGCAATACAATAAATCTTCAATGGTAACTTAGAGGAGAGGTCTCTATCTAGAAGTATGGTCATAAAGCCTTTCTCTGCTAACACGGTCCTACATGTACACATATTCTGGAGCACTGTCTAAGCCATCAACATCTGGGAACAATCATCCCTCAGCTCCCCTCCCAAGTAGAAGCTCATGTTTTATGACTAATGGGATACAAGACACATGAGTTTTGTAACCCTTTTTGCTACCCTTTTTGCCTAGGCTGCCAGGAAGTTCAGTGTTAATACTGATAGCCAAATACAAGTGCTTTGGAAGCCCAGCTGTTACACACATATGCTTTTCTCCCCACAACTTGGTATGGTGTTCTATTTATTCTTCCAGAAGCTGATTCCTATGGCATATTTAAAACATGACTTCTAGTCTGTCTGGAAAACAAAAAGGATAAAAATCATGAATAAATTTTAAATGATGGGGAAAGTAAACCAATCTAACAGCATATCTAACAGTACTATCACTGTGTCAAGGGGCTTTCTCACTGAAATACCTCAATTTTCACAATGACAAAACCTGGCCTCATTATGATCTATGGGGTCCATACGATGAAGGTGCAGGGAGAATTGCATTAGGAACAGGGTGTTTTGGTTAAAGAAAAATAAAGATGCCACATCAGAGTTTGAAAAGAATGAGCAAAGCTTTCGCTAATAAGAAAGCAAATACATCCCACTGCTTACTGGTGAACTATAGAGTTTTCAAAAAAAATTTACATGGAAAAATTATATAATAGCTTTATGTACAGCCATCTTTGGTCCCAACCAAAGACATGGACTTCCGTGCATTCATACACACATACATCAGCCCCAAGTTTGTGTTATCCTGGCCTGGAAAAGCCATTAGTTCATTTTGAGCCTCAAAGAAGCCAGGCTCTCCCCCAGACAGTTCACATGGCATCGGCCACCCCATTAGCAGTTCTATAGCCATCATCACTGCTGCTGCTGCTGCTTCCAGGAGGGCTTCTCCCCTCCAGCCCCAAAATGTAGCGCCTGCTTCTTCCCTATAAATACACCATCAATAGGCAGTTGCTATGGCAACAGTGAGGAAGCATGAGGACTCCACAGAGAATGCAGCTGCAGTCACGCATGTATATGTCCCCCCAGCCCCCTCCTCCCCCCCCCGTGGATACTGTACAGCTGACTGTAGGCTGAAGGAATTTTTAACCCACTCCCCACAGGAACACAGCTGAATCCTGACATTCTAGAAAGGAAGGAAGGCAGGGAACCAGCCACCACAAAGACCTTCCTTAACCCCACCCCAGACTGAGGCCTCTGAATCCCAGCTCTCTGGGTCACAGCTCCCAAAGTGCCTCCCTCCCACAGAGACTGGTGGCCCACTTGAGCATCTGGTGTCCCCAGACTTGGCCTCCAGAATCACTTCTTCAAATCCTAGCCCCTGTGATTTCCATCACTCAGAACTACTTGACAGGAAAGGGTTCTGCGATTTCCAAATCTCATGATTCATCAATCCACTCAGTGATATGGCAACTCCCAAATTGTGCTCAAACTCAAACTCTGGGGTCTCTTGCCCCCTTCCACTCATGCCAGCCCTGAAAGTGCCTGGCTTCGCCCACCTTTGCTGGACACCAGCGCCCTGGTGAAGAACACTGGCCCAGCAACACTCTTCCGCCAGGGTCTACTCAAGACTCCAAACACCCTGGCCTTCCTGACTTCCAGATCTTCCCTCCCCAACAGTACCCAGCGCCTAGCTCAGTGGTCCTGAACATCAAAGCATGCCCTCGGGGCTGGGGTCATCCAACCAAACAGCCTCACCGTTCTCCGGGCCCAGGAGGCTGCCGCCTTGTTTGCGCTTGCAGCCCGCCACCTCTCAGCGGCGCCTCTTCCAGCAGGGCCCCTGTCCCCGCCCACCTGCTCCCTGTCGGCCAAGCCCCGAGCCCATCCCAGCGGTCTCCTCCCTTAGTCCCTCCCTGTCCCGCTTCCCTCCCGCCGCCCCTGGCGCCCCAATGTCCGCCAGGCCCGAGCCAAAGAGCGCCTGGAGCCCCCGCCCCTCACAGCCTGGCGCGCAGGCCTTGCCCATTACCTCGGCAACCCCCTGCCTGTCCCTGCTCTCCTCTAGGGACTTCCGTCGGACCCTCCCCCGCACCCTGCCGAGCAAGCTCTGGCCTCGCGCCCCGCGCCTGGCGTGCCACCCTCGAGCGCCAAAACCGCTTGCCCCAATAGCCAGGCCGCGGAACGTTGCGCTGCCCCGCGCACCAGGCCTCCGGGCCAGGAGAGGAAGAAGGGGTGGGGCCAACTGAACCGCCCAAGGGCTTAGGTGGGGAAGGCCAGCAAGCTGGGCCGAGGGGCGGTGGCGCGCACCAAGCACCGCGCTCCCCGCGCCCAACTCTGCCGGCACCGCCCCTGCGGGCGCCCGTGCTGCGGGGGGTAGGGGGGGGAGGAGAGGGGCCTGACCAGCGGGTCTGGGGCTCTCTGGAGACTCTCGGACACCTCCTTGGCCCGGTGGTGACTCAGAGCGCCAGCCCTACGAAGACCGGGCTCGGTAGCTGCCGCTCCAGGTATTTTGGAGCGGCACAGTCCGAGCTGCCTCCTGGGCCCCACCCAGGCTCACCTGCCATTCCAGCCAGCCAGGCCCTGGTGCCTTCGGAGAAGAGAGGGGAGCGTGATAGCCGGCGGAAGCTGCCTTGTTAGGCTCCTCGGGTCAGCAGAGAACTGGCCCAGTTCTGGCCCCTCTCATGCCAGTGAATGAGTGACATTTGTTTCCTCACTTACATCCCCCACCCTGCCTGGGAATGGCAGGCTATTCTCTTGTGAAATCTGAGAAATGGGGAAAATCCTGCTTTCCTCACAGACCTGCAGCTAGAAGGAGGGGAAAATGGGATCCTGAAAAGGAGCAGAAAGAAAAGAAGATGCAATCTTGTGGGCCTGCAGGGAGTGTTGGCCAGAATACACCTCAGTCTGTACTGTGGGAGGTTCAGCCTGGTTGGACAAAGCCCTGGTAGCAGAGATGGCATTATTCTAGGAATTGAGGTTTGACCACAGAGTGAGGCAAGATGGTTAGGTATGGGTCTTGGAAAGCATAGGAGGTGCCCAGTGTGCCTTACTGGGTTAACGGAGAGAGCACTTTTCAGCACAGCCCTGCACCTAGGGTTGCTGTCCTCCCCCCCCCCCCCCCCCCCCCCCCCCGACGCACTGCATTTAATAGGAACCAGCCAGAGTAAGGCCAAGATTATGAGACAAGGGATGGGAAGAGGCCCCAGAGCCTCCAATGCTCCAGCTTCCAGGGCTGATTCTTTGTTGCTCCTAGCCCTATGCTTCTCTCTTTCCTGACCCACCCCCATTGTTCCTTACCTGCCTCCTAAATTCATAGCCCTCCCTCTTCCTTTCTCTAAGCTTCAAGAGCATTCCTTGCCCATGGCAGAGCCTCTGTAATCTTTACCCCATGTAAGCCTAGGAAAGCCGTGCCCATGGGCAGTTTGCACAGAGAAAAATAAGATGCCCTGGGTATGAGAATACCTTTGGTTGCTCCTAACAACTGTATGCAGATGCTCTGGCTGGATGGTGAAAGAGCTGGATGGAGTCATGGTCAGTGGGGAAAATGACCAAAGCGGTTTCAGCACTAACCTTAGTCTCCTAGCCCATCAGCATGCTCCTGACCTCATTTCAACCACAGGCACTTGGGTAAACAACCCCAAAGAAGGGGCCCGAGTGGAGTGGAGTGTACCTATATGCACAAAAAGCATATATGATATCTACTGTCCTCCCAGCACCTTCACTTGAGCTTCTTGCTCCAGCAACACCAGCTTACTTTTAGTTCCTTCTCCACTCAGAATGCCTTTCCTCCCACCGCCTGTCAGGGCACTTAGTTCATTCTGCCCACACAGTACCAATGAGATTTGCACTGGAGGTCTTGCAAGGCCTTCCACCCCATCCCACACTGACCAGTGCATTCTCAGCATTGTCTACAGGGACTGGAAACATGGGCCTTGGTGCACGGCAAGAGAGGGAAAAGGAAGACAAGCAGGACCTCCAGACAGGGCCCTGCTGTCTCTTGGCAGGACCACACATTGCTCCATGATCTTCAGCAAGTGAGTTGGCGTCTCTGTATCTCAGTTTGTTTATCTGCCAAATGGGAATGAGGCTAGCAGTGCCTGCTTCAAAGGGTAACCCAGAAGGTCAGTGAGGTGTTCAGTTAAAGCGGGCCTGGTGCTCACAAGTGAGCTTAAGACATAGTAACTCTGGCTTGCATTCTGTGCATTGAGTGCCTCCTCTCTCCTGGACCTAAGGGCAGTGCATCCTTCTATATTACTAGCATCCAGCACAGAGGCTTATCCACAATAGATGTTTACTAAATTCTTGTAGATCAGAAATGGTGAGCTAGAGTCAAGATTTGCTATAAAATTACCACCATGAAGTTGGAACCTGTTTCCTCCTTCTGCAAGCCTTGACCACCCTCTCCTTCCTTGTCCCTCAATTTCACCAATTTCATTACCTCCTCTCTCCAATTTTCCTCTCCCTTACCCCTCCTTGCATTTCTTCCTATGCCTATTTGCGACTACATTAATTATTTTCCTGATACCCATTCATCAAAACTGAACCCTTTTGGAAGTCTTCCTGACCCTCCTTTCCAAGTCTCACTTCATCTTGAAGTCAGCACTGAAGTCACTCCATAAAAGACTCACATTTTCTCTGCACATTCTTCACCCTCTACACAGTATTCACTGAGTAGATTGTAGTCTCAAATGTTCCTCCTCCCAGTCCTTTACATGGTAGCCCTCATCTCACTACTTCAGACTGTGACTGTATTTGGAGATGGGGTCTTTAGTGAGGGAACTGAGGTAAAATGAGATCTAGTACTAGTACAGTGTAAGAGGGATCCTTATTACAAGGGGTGGCTAAGACACAATCACACATAGAAGGTGATCATGTGAGGGTATAGGAAGAAGTCTGTCATCTACAAGCCAAGGAGAGAGATCTCAGGAAGGAACCAGCCTTTTCAACATCTTGAGTTTCAACTTTGAAAAGTACAAGATTGTAGTGGTATTTGCTCTGCCCATGACCTTAGGCTGTACACCTGAAGGAGGCAGTGCTTCTTGCTGTTGTATGTGACCTCTTAAAAGGAAAGGGAGAGGGGTCATGAGGTCCCTTTCCCCTGCTTCCTACTTCCTGGTGTGATAAGACAGCCAGGTGGATTCGCTCCCAGTCAGAACAGAGGATGACTTCAGCTGTCTACTAGGTTCTGTATTCGTGAGTGTATTTCCTCGATTTATACCCAAATAAATTCCCCCAATACTGCTTTAAAAAAAGGAAACAGGGCCACGTGACCCCTCTCCATTTCATTTTAAGAGGTCACATACAATGGCAAGAAGTACCACCTCCTTCGGGCCATATAGCCCAAGGTCATGGGCAGAGCAAATACCACTACACAAGACAATATATTTTTCTGTTCAAGTCACTGTACCCTGGGGCTTTTCTCTGATATACCAAAGTCATATATCCTGTATTGTTTAGTGATGCTATATGCCAGAATGTAGCTGGAGTTATTTCCTGGTCCTGCCTGGCCCACAGTCAGGACAAATCTCTCTCACCCACCAATCCTGCAGCTGCTAGGACCCAAATAAACACACAGAGGTTTATATTACTTATAAACTGTATGGCCATGGCAGGCTTCTTGTTATCTAGTTCTTATATCTTAAATTAACCCATTTCTATGAATCTATACCTTGTCACATGGCTTGTGACTTACCAGTATCTTATATCATGTTTCTCATGGTGGCAGCTGGCAGTGTCTCTCTCTGCTTCAGCCTTCCACTTCCCAGAATTCTCTTTTCTGCTTGTCCTGCCTATACTTCCTGCCTGGCTACTGGCCAATCAGCACTTTATTTATTAACCAATTAGAGCAACACATTCAGAGCACAGAGAACATCGCACAGCACCAGGTTCTGTTCCAGGACCTAGGAATAGAGATGACAATAAACCAAACACAAACTACTACCTCACGGACATTAGACAACCCCCTCCCCAGAAAGTCAAAGATGTAAGATAGTGAGTGATAACTGGCATTATGGAGAAAAATGAAGCAGAGTAAGGTAGTCAGGGAGGTCTCTACTGAGAACATACCCTTATTTCTGAAACCTGAAGGATGTGAGGAACTATTTTGTTCTGGATAGACAGATGTACAAATGTAACTCCAAAGCAGAATTTCATCTATTATTTTCTAAGGTAGGCCAGGAATCATGCAAGGCCTCCCAGACCATCACCAGGGATGTTGACTGTTAGTTAAAATGATGAAGAAAGAAACTGAGGGCTCTCAATCAAGGAGCACCTGTGATCTCAGCATATTAGAGATTGTGACAGGAGTATAACAAATACTTCAAGACTGCCTTGGATATCAAACAAACAAAATACAAGGAAAACCAAATGAACTTCTGATGGTCAAAAATGGCAACTTTAAGAGTGAGGAGGCTGGTAATAGACTTGAGAAATCCTATAACAAAGTCAAATCGCAGTAGCTTCCCAGAAGCCCTTGATCCTGTCCCTTCTGCCTAGAATTAGTCAGTTCAAGGTATCTCACAGATGTGTCTCATGAGCCCCAACGAAGAACAGGTATGCTCATGATGATGAGAACAGAGCAATAGGCCAAGAATACTGAAGACTTTGCCTTCAGGGCTGTCACAACAAAGAAGACAGATGACACATTAGTAAATTAGCATAGTATAGATCAGATCCCATAAAAATCTAAGGTGAGAACAGTTTCATGATCTACCAATTAAGCTGAGCTGCCAGTTGAGTGTAGATGTAACCAACAGTCTTATTAAATAAGAAACACAGAGCCGATTCAGAGAAGAAAGCCAAGAGGTCAGAACTAAGAGCCTCACCCTTCCTGCTTAGTGATCCTCTTCAGCTGAGAGAGAGCTCTCCGAAAAGGAACTACTCCTATGTGTATGTCTTTATATACTCTAGCTGTTCTGCCTTCTCATTGGTTGTAAAGCCAAACATGTGACTGCCTCGTCACTGCCTGTATGTACTGCCCTCCAGGTCCTTAAAGGCGTGTGCCGTCACCGCCACGCTCTTGCTATGGCTCTAAAAGCTCTGACCCCCAGGCAACTTTATTTATTTACATACAATTAAAATCACATTTCAGTACAAGTAAAATACCACCACAAGTTGAGATGTGATGCAGTGCTTGTTTTTCTACGTAGAATACAACAGCCTTTGATTTTTATCATCACATTTCTGTCCATTTCATTCCTTTAAAGTAAACTGCAGGCAGAATAAAGTGGTGAAAGTACACTTGCTCACATTTCATCTCTGCTAAATCACTTTTGAACTCACACCTGTCTACATCCTATATATTTTTAGGAGTCTCT